CCAGAAACAATTCAGGATTAACTTTGCTTTCATTTAAGTATGATATGGATGTATCACCTGACAATGCATTACAAATCAACACATACAACATGGTGAAAGAGAGTGAGTTGTAAACGAACAAACCTTGCTCTGGCAGAATCATAGTCCAGCACCAATTTGGCCAGCTGTTTCCTCTGCTTCAGGATGTTGGGAATGTCCACCTTCAAAAAATTAGATCCATAACAAGTTGAATGAGCCTGAGAACTTAGAATGGCAAATATCTGACATTGTTTTCCGACTGTTCTTTCTTGATGATTATTTGAACTTTTTTTCCCCAATTAGCCTTTTTAATGGTAAAATTATAGAAATAAGCTGAATTGCTTGCAGGTTTGTAAGAGTTGATACAAATCCTTGGAGCAGTTCTTCTTATTTTAGTTTGTTGAGGAGGGGATAAAAATGCCTTTTACACTACAAAATGATCACAGCAAAACACCTGTGAATGGAGGTCTTGGCCCTGCAGTGCAGCTTCTTAGGAGTAACAACTGTAGCAAGTGCAGTTATATAAGAAATAACCCAAAATGCAAGGTACAAAGACACGGATGTCTGATAGGCCACTGTTTGGAAAAGTTAGTATAACAAAATGAACAGGTGGCACACCACAGTCTGTAATGAGAAGAGAAAAGGCCTCATGTTTAGCTAACGTTACCAGGATTGGCATCGGTTTTGTTTTAATTTCTCCAACCTCACAGGATCACATCTCCAAAGCAGGTCAATGTGGAACATACTTATGAATCCATACAAGCTTTGCGGGAAAGCTGTAGGTCATTTGCAACTGGGCAGTGTAAACCCAAAAGACAGGAAAACAATGTTTCTATTAAACAATCTATTGCACTATAATAAGACCAAAGAAAGCAAATAGAAGGGGTGTGACTGCACTCACAAACAAGCCAAGAGCTATGAAAGAATTTTAAATATTTAACTTGTGTTTAGTGGCTGTTATGTCCATAAAGAGTGAGGATTCTCACCTCTGCTAGTTGGCTGAGGGGATCCAGAACGTCCTTCTCCATCTGCAGCTCATGTTGCATCAGTTCTGATGCCAGACGATTCTCTGCCTCACCACACACTTCCATCATCTTCCTGTTAACATAAACGTTAGCACAAAGAGAGAGAAAGGTGTTAAAATCACAACGTAGTCTGTCTAGTCAGATCTCATTATCACATCAGCTCTATAATGTGAGGATGCTAGGTCTAATACATCCAGTGTAATCACACATCTCCCTAATAAAATATAACAACACAGAGGGATGACCATCTGGGCCCCCAGCTCTTCATCTGTTCCCAGTCAATAACTGAATTTAAAACAAGGTTATTGTAAGGTCATCATTTCTAGATGCCTGAAGCCAGGAGCACACAGTGACCTAGTGACAGTTAGTTCATCTACATGAATCAGGTTTTTTTGGCCAATGATACCCCTAAGCCTTGAAATACAAACAGAACAGTTGACACAAATGCATCACATTTACTAAGAGACCAACTGGCGTACTTTCCCTTCCTTATTATCTCGAGACAGACACATGGCTACTGCGTAGATTTGGAGAAATTCACTTTCTAGATCCTCAAACCTCCACTACAATCTGTCTGGTCCTGTTTTGTGTGTTGCTCTCGGTCACAATGAATGATCTGAACCTCACATAAAGGGAACTACTGAAAGTCCCATCAACAGAAAACCAAACTGGGCAGATTGCTTGCCCTGAATGCATGGCCTCATATTTCACACTCTCTGGGGTGTATCTGCTCCATTAGCGACAGTTGCCAAGGAGGAGCAATTGGTTATCCGGCCTGTCAATCAATCACAAACTCACCCTATTAAGGAGTCTTCTCCCAACTGGTTGCCGCCTTCGACCATCGCCTGGGATAGTGAAGTCAGAGGAAGCTTTTTCTGTGGTGTATGTGTGTGGAAGAGGGACAGATGCAGACAATTATTAGACTTAGATAACATGAGATATACACAACATCATACTATGCACACGAACAAAAAGTACCCATTTCTATACAGCAGTTTCACTATTTGATGTTCAAGGCAATGGAAAATCCGTCAAGGACTTTCCATTGAGCAAATTCAGTCAGGAAGAGGAAGAGAGCTTTCTGAGCAAAGGAGGAAAACACAGATGTTAAATGGGATTTAAGATGCAAACTAGGGAAGTGAGACGTCTATCAAATCACAACACTGGCGCTCATTTTCACAGTTTACACTTGTGAGTGTTCAACATCCTGTTTTTACCCGAGAATCCCAAAAGCAAGTGTCATGCATAGTGAATAAAGATGACAGATGTCTGAATGGAAAATGGAGCAAGTGGTGCCGAGAACCAGAGAGGTGGAATAAATAATCAGTGTTTTTACCTGACCATTTCCTGTATAGAGGCGTGGTACGGACTGTAGTGCATTTTTGGTTGGTGTGGGGTAGAAAACACAAAAGACAAATCATGGACTGTAGGCCTACTTTGGACACTTTGAAAACAGTAAGAACTCAAACTTTGTGTGGGAGGTGAATTATATAAAAAAAATAAAGGTTGTACACATCCAAGAACAGTTGATTGATCTGGTTAGTTTGTTTCTAAAAAGGCAAACTGGAGCTGTGACAAAGGTTTCATTGTAACAATCGTGATGTCTTACATGTCTCTTCTCTGCTTCTGCACCGATGTGTCCCTGTAGACATGACACCATCCTCTTGTGTGTGTTGTGGGACACCACACGCACCAACTCCATGCGCCGTTCAATCTGTGCAGAAGACAAGACGTATGAGACAGACAGATTTTTAGCAAATATATTTTATATAGATATATCATATAGATGAAATGTGGCTTTTTTAAAATATGTTTGTACAAGCACACAAAAACACGTACACATGACTCAAAGTCTTTATTACCACGACTACTCTGTGAACTTTTGCCTCATCAGCGCCATTAACCAACGCAACAGTGTGCCAGCAGTGTTGATGGCTGATGAGATCCAGTTCCATGTAGAGATTTGATTTGTAGCTGCCTTGAGGGAGTCAGGGGCCAAAGGTCATGCATGATTGATAATGTTTGTCCCCACGGAACAACGCTGGAATGTTATCTTTGAAACACATGACTCATCGGAAGTGTCTCTATAGCAACGGCCACCGGGCTGTGACCGAGAGCGAGGGGTTCTTCGGCTTTAAAAAGGTCTTTTTAAATACACAGGCTTTCTCCTGTCTGCTAGCTTAACTACACAGATCCACTCTGTGCTTTTAGCCTGACAAGATAGAATACTGTCATTGATGGGAGTCACAGCTATTCTGGCTTTAAGACAGAGGCCAACTGAAGCTCCGCAGGATGACTATTCATTGTCCTTGTCATGCCAGGTGCCTGGGACAGTCAGTGTCAACATAAGCCTGGCTGTCACTAGCCCATGAATAGAACTGATGATTGCAGGTTACTGTTCGAGTCTACTTAAAAGTCTGATGATGCAAAGAACTGGTTTGCCTTGGCAGCGCTTGTGAGAAAATTAAAAAAACAGCAGATTACACAGGTGTGTCTTCCTTTTTTTTTTTATAAAAAGCACATCTGATGGGAGAAAGTGGGAGTCTGTAAGTGTCTCAAAAGGACAAACATGTTCTCAACAGTCGGGGACAAACAATGTTCCAAATATAAATGGAACACTGAGGTCTAGAGGGCAGAAATGAAGAGAGACAAATGCAAAGGGAGGATCAACCAAATACCAGACAATTGTGTTCCAAAAACAGAATGGAGTCGGAACTCAGGAATTCCACAGCAGATATCCGCCTCCAACCGTACGCGCCCTCCTTTGCCTCCCTCTGTTCCTTGCGCTCTTACGTTCATTCGACCCACTGGTGGGCCCAGCATTCCAAAAACACAGCTGGGTCAATAAACAAACCAAACACACACTCGCACCATGCATATACACACACACACACTCAGCTATAGGCTTGGGAACACTTAGACTCAGCCCAGTTAGTACCTGGCACACAGAACAAGCAGGGGATTCCCCTCCCTGTGCTCTAAGAGAGACGATGTTCCTGCGTGGGTGTATTGGAAATGTTTGGGTTACATGGCACTGGGAGTATTCTTCTTCCTTTCATTGTGACAAACTGGGGTTAGACGCACAACACCATATAGTCGAAAAATAAAACATTGCGGAGGAGTTGGGGAACCTAGGCCAAAAGGAGCTGAAAAGCAGGCAGCGGGGTGTGTTTTTCCTCCTGCTCTGTGATGAGGTCAACACATGGTCAATCCCATGACGCGTCATTGAGCAGGGAATCCCAATACTGGCTAGGATGCAGGGGGAGAAAAAAGACAGAGAGGGTGTCTGTCTGTCTGTCTGTCTGTCTGTCTGCCTGTGTTTGTTTATTGGTTCCTAAGAGAAAGGATGTGAACATGTCTCGACAAGTCCAGAATGAACAAAAATAACATAACATGACGCATTAAGAGGGGAATTAGGCACTGAGCCATTGATGGCGAACAAAATACTCTTTGTTAACATTAGGGCTATATGACAGAAGTGTTAAAAACAGCTGGTTGCTACCTTTTAAACTGCCCTCAATTATTACACGCGACTAGGGTGTGTGCATGCATGCAGGCACCCTGGTTATTCTGGTGGTACCCCAGATGTAGATGAGCTGCTATGTAGGGAAGCAGCAAGGAATGGACAGCTGGCACAAGAATGCTGGGTGGCTCTTTGGCACCCTGGAGGACCATATTCAAAAAAGGGCTTGGGATGAAGAGGCTAAGATTAGAATACGTCAAATGCCAAAGACTCACAACTGAGATGAAAATGGGATCAGGGCTGCCACTAACGTTTATTTGCATTATCAATTCATCTGCCAATGATTATTCGATTAATCGTTTAGTCTATAAATAGTGTCAGAAAAGTGTGAAAAACTACCATCCCAAAGACCGACTGGCCGACCTCACAGAGGTGGTTGGCTGCAGCTGCGGCTGATATGACACGATGAGGTAAAGCTTAAACAAAGTGAATCTCAGATGGGACTCTTTATGCTCACTTTCATTTCTTTGCAACAACAAGTATATAATTGGAAGTGTATGGCGGGGGCGTGATAGGAAACCACTATGTGTAGTAGAAGAAGAAGTAGGAAGCTAGAATAAGAAGGGGGAGGCTGATATTCCAGGATGGGCTTCCAATAACTAAAGGATAAACTGAGAATCTGCGACACAGCCATCTCAGGAATTGAGGAGGTGGAGTGATTTCTATCTCTCCATCCCATACTCCCTTTTTCCTTTATCAGACAGCAATGTTACTCTGCAGTGAGACACAGAGCCCACAGAGGCTCCGCAGCTGATTTCCAGACAGAGGCAGAACAACTGTGTCTTTGAGAAAGTCAATTGTCAGACTCAATATAATGTCCCCTCCTCAGTGAAAAGTACCCTAAGCGGTTAGTCATCACTGTCCACTTGCATTAGAGCAACTCATGCTGGCTCTGAATCTAACTCTGATGTTCTAGCTGTCACTCAAATACACTTTCCCATATAAGGCCCATGTCATCTTCACAACAGAGGTTTGCTGTTTGTTTATGCATCCGGCTACAAAAGAAGGTGGGGAGAGGAACAACAAGAATAAAAGGGTGTCAGACATTGTGGCTTTGGCTGTTTCAAGGAGTACTGCAAAGCCAACTGAGTTTGTTTTAACATCTATGACACCTCCCATTCAAACACAAAGACAATCTGCATCGCTGGAATGTCTTTGCTGAGCAGCCAGTATTTTGTTCCAACCCCACCTGCATTCTCACACACACACACACACACACACACGTTGTTGATATATGCAACTCACACACATGCAGCCACAGCAAACTGGCCCCTTCTTGTTACTATGGAAGTGCTTCTCAGCCAATGTGTCAGCAACAGTGCTAACTACATTAACATAATCTATTTGCCACTAAGAGTTTGTATGTCATAATTTCAACCCAGCGCTACAGCAGCTGAGCCCACTGATAAGCAATCTTCAACCAGGGAGGAGGATCTAATAAGTGATATCAGCTACTGTCTGGTTGGCATGAAAACTGGAATACTTTCGGGCCTGTTCAGCACATGGTCCAGCTGCTCTTTCAGCTTCAATAGGACAAATCTTAAATCAATTTTGCATGTTCTCTTGCGTGCTGTAAGAAGTGCTCACTGCTCTGGTGTTTGTTCTGTATCCAAATCTGGCCTGGTTATATTGTAATACAGTATAAAGACAAGTCAATGCAGAGCTGTAGCAGAGGAATTACCAGGGAAAGAAGAAAACTCTAACAGGGGTTCAGAACTGAAAATTAAAAAGGCCTTCCTGAGACAAGTGTAGGTTAAATAACTGTTTATAAATCAGTAACAAAGCAGCAAAATTATTTTTATTTATATAGAAGCTGCAGATTATTAATGAAAAAAAGTGCAATCATGTTTAATGAACAGTGACACACACTCCACTAGGCCTGATCAATGATTAATGCACAAATAAAGGGGAGGGACTAAGATGAGAAATGACCCACTCTAGCCTTGGAATAACCTACCTATAGAAAAAAATCTTCTGACTACACAACAAGCTCAGTTTCTCAGAGTCAACTAAAATGTTCCTCGTCGCTGCTTTAACCTCACCTGTATAAAAAATGGCATCCAAAATCCTGGAACCAAAATTACATTAAAACAAACTAGATTAACAGACTAATTTGGGGCTAAAAAAAGGTTCTGCAGCATCCTTTCTGTAAAGCCAACTTTTGTGGTGAGCAATAATGTGGTGCTTTGTGCTTCATGCCTTCCCACAAATAAATACTGTTTGTACTTTTGTGAAACCAACTGATTTGATTCAGAGATGACTGGTCCGTGTAACTGCAGCCATTGCCTAACAGACGCGGCCGTTCCAGTGTTGTGTGAGCTGGTCAGAACTCTACAGTCAGATCAATGATTTACCTGTAAGAGGTCATCGCTGAGGACTTCTGTTTTCTCCGCTCTGTGGGTGAGAAAAGACAACAGAGAGCGTTCAGATTAGCACTGTCAGACAACCAAAACAGAAAGGTATTTGTACTTGAACAGTCTGGCACTGTGGAAATATCTGCTAGACAAATGACACCCCTCCTGAAAGACTGGTTTCCACGCTCAACTTGAACACTAAAACAGTGGCAGGTATTGACCAGGGCATCCGTGGGAACGTTTCAAGAGAGGGTGGGTCTCTTTAGTTTGTTGCCACGGCTCAACCAGCCACGTAACAGGCTGGTATCTAGGCTGGAGGCAAAATACGTCTTCAGACTTCACTGAAGCTTAAATTATATCTGATAACAGACATTACAAAAGCAGAGACTCTGCTGAGCAAGAAGGCATGTTTCTGTAGGTAGTCTGCTCCACAAGTTTTGATTTCCTTAAGCCACAGCTAGCCGGGCTCACGGTGTGGTGCACAGGGTAGCCACGCAGTCCTGCTCTGCCTGAGCCTATTAATAGTAAACTAATAGTTGGACTTGGAGAGGTCAGACAGATTAGATTCACTTAAAGGGAGAAGGCTGGGAAACACAGGCTCAGCTCACACACTGCTAATCAACACCTTCACACAGGGCCGATGGCTTCTATGGCTACGAGAGGGGGGAGGGCAACGCTACAGTCCGAGGGTCGGTGGCTGGAGATGATGAGAATACAATGGTTGACTTGCGACTACGAGACGGATTAATTAAGTAAAAAAGCCATGGCTATGTGTTGTTTGTTGGAGTTGATATAAGGCTGTATAGGTTTAATTTTGTTTTAGTAACCCATTAGACAGTGTACACTTCATACACTTACAAAACTTAATATACAAACATCAACATGTATGTGCACTGAAAGCAGAAAATCAGGTAAAACATATACTAGTAGGTCTGCTCGGCATGCTCCAGCTATAGGGTTTATGCTGGAGACGTTTTAGTGAACCAGAGTTTGACTTTATTAAAATGCCTACTCTAAAAGAGACCGCTAACAGCTGACAGTTTTACTTAGAGGTTAGTGTTTTAAGTTGCAGGTGAAGGTTCAGATTCTGCACAAGAGCTCGTCCCTACTGTTCTCTATCATGAATTAGTGCAAATATAAAAGTACTGCAGCATTTCTATATATTCAACCTTATACTGTAACTTACTGTAAACATGATTCTCAGTAAAGCAGGAGGTTAAATACTACTTAGGAAATAGAGCTAATGAGCAGACTTCCAGTAACATGCCTCTGTTCCCCCTTTCTCTCATGGGACTTCATTGTCACACTGTCTGCCTCTTTACTGTAAAGCAGAATGAAGACTCTGCAGTTATTGTTCTAACTAACTAATGTGCAAACTTTCAGCCTTCTGGAGTGACCGTCGCTTGCCTGCATTTTGGGTAACTGAAGCTCTAAATGAAGCCTGGGCCCTCCTCCAAAACCTGCTCTCTTTGAACTATAGTAACCTCGTCACAGCTGCTTTCAATTACAACACAGAGGCAGGGAGCAGGGAGAAACAGAAAGACTGACAGAGAAGGGGACGACAGTTTGGGGGTTCGAAGGAAAAAAAAAATACAAATACAGAGCTTTTGGGGGTGGGGGGGGGTTAAAGACTCCTAAAACTGCCAAACCAGAAGAATCTAGAGGCTGGAGATGAACGGAAAGATTTTCACTGGAGGAGAGCCACAGCCAAGCTGGTGAAGTCACACGTGTAGAGTGAGGACCTATAACCCACAGAAACCTAAGGCCAGGCTTCCAGCTAGCTGCAGACAAAAGAGCCACACACACACACACACACACACACATTATAATGTACGCACACATACTGTACAGCAAAGATTATAAAGCCACAATATGGAATCCATGTTCTGGTGTAGTCTACACGCTGAAGGGCTCTTCATGTGGTCCCGTCGTGGGCCTAATCTCAAAAACCAGTGTGTTCGTCAAGCTATCCTTTCATGAATACACGCCTATGCATCACACACCGCCTGTGCAAACTGATCACGCTTGTGTGAACCCAAAAAGCAGAGGCAAAAAAAAAAAAAAAAAGGCTGGGCAGCCTGGGCACAGCACAAACAACAACAAACAAAACAACAATTGTTTTGCCGGCATCAGCTGACACAGAGCGCACAGAGCTGACCCTCACGGCCTCACGGAAGCAGCAGCCTTTGGAGAAAGTGTGTGGCTGTGTGCACTGCATGTGACTTCTTAACAACAAGAGATCCTCCGTGCTGCACAGCCGTGGCGGCCTGCTACATCAGAACGGTAACCATGGGGATCTACTGTCGGAGTGGAAGGGGAGTAAGTGAATACTGCAGTCGTAAGCACAATAGAGCGGCTGTTACCGGCCACTCAACACAATCAGCAGGCTGAGGAGCAGGGAGGGTCTGCCTCTTACGGTTGCAACAGTTGGCAGCTTAAGGCATAAGGTAACGGATACTGGACCTGGATGAAAGGAGCTGGAGAATAATTGAGTGACTCAGCCCATACAACCTCCCTAATGTGGCTGATTATGTGAGCTGTTGCGTTAACATTAGAGGGCAAGAGCGAGCAAAAACGTGGGGGGGCAAAAGCTGAAAGGCTTTTATCCAATGTGTGTTGTTGTGGTATAAAGATAAATGAAGGCTAAGCTTAACCTGAGCACTGTGACGAAGCAGATATTATAACAACATTCATAATAGCCAGTTGTGCCGCATTTTTCTGTCTCAAATTCATAATGTGGACGAAAGCAAAAATGACTAACAACAGCCCAGCCTCATAGGTCGTGCGTATCACTAGTGCCACAAAGGGGTCTCAGCTGACACACCTCTTTGTCCTCGAGGCACTGGCCTGGTGAGACTCGAGGGAAACGCCCAGAGTCACCTATCCTTATTCATTCGACAGTGACATTTTGCTGATCCCTGTGGGGAAAGTGGCTTTTCAAACACAACTCCCTCTTGAGTGAATCGAGGGCTTCCAGATACAATAGGTCTATATTAGCCTGCGAAACACTGCGCTAGTGAGGACAACTGTTGTTGTTGTTAGATATGACATCAAAAAAACGGATTATGTAATGCTAGTGAATGAATAACAGCTCAGCTCACATACATTGTGCCTGGGCTGATAATGGAACTCATTTGTTGATCCCGTCGACCTACAGAACAGGGCACCTGCAGCTAAAAGAGACTCACAATCAGTAAGCTCATATCGGTATTGATTAACTCATTGATGTTACTCACTCGTGTGTGGTAAAACTACCATACCAACCCAGATAAACCCAAAGTGATGCAGCAATTACACTACACAATGTGCACTGTGACATGTCAGCGTTTAAGTGCTGGACTGTCTATCTTCCCCCCCAGACACTGTAATGTGCTGCTCTGAATAATCACTGCAAAGTGAACGTATAATGTTATCGACCGATCAATGTCACCTGCTGAGCTGAATCAGGATTAAACAAACAAGATGCAGCGTATTAATTAGCGAGCTTTAGCTGGGATTCAGACCAAAAACAGCCCTGTGTTAGTTAGTGGGGGCTGCGTTGGTGGGGGCATGTTTACCAGTGAGACAATGAAAAGAAAAAAAACGATCCAGTAAGTCCAGTTTGAACAATAGATTAATGCGTTTAAAGGCTTATCAGACAAACACACTGCACAACGGTTTGCGATACACACAGAGAGGATTTTACAACACTGGAGAGGTTATCACAACTGCAACTTTTTTTTTTTATCTTGCTGTGATGATCGACAAGCTCGAAGGCGCCCCGCGCAAACTCCTATGTTTTGTTGGTTCACCTGTGTATGTCCCACAGATTTAAGGCCTCTTCCTGCCATGTGAACCAGTGATTATCAAATTCTTTCCTCAGCCATTAAAAAAGGCTGATTTCCAGACAGTTGGGAGTTGGTGTCATTATCAATCGCAGAACAGAGAAAATGTTAACTCCTAAACACCAGTACAGTGCGATATGTTGACCCCACTCTGGTTCTGTGGAGCATGATTGTTAGTTTATCTTCATGCAGATAGTGGTTGTAGCTTATGACACTCTATTAATATGTTATCTCCTTTAAAAGGTGTTAATATCTGATCACATTAACCTGCAGCCAACAGGCACGTACAGGGCCAGAGAGTTCAAAGATGGCCAACTGAAATAAGCTTCCGCAAAAGAGATACAAATCCTCGCCATGTTCCCCGGCATGAATCACATGCTGTTTTTTCCCTGCAACTCCCTCTCTCTCGCTACACCAATCTGCCCAGCGTTCTCTCTCCTCTTCTCTAGAAAGCGAGTAGCATGACTCTGGGAGGCAGCTTCCTGTTTGTAGAAGAAGAAGGAGAGATTTCCTTAGAGTGGCTGTGCACTGGACACAGTGTTCTGCCTTTGCACAATCGCAGGAACCCAGGGGGCAGCGGAGAGGGCCTTTGCACTCCAAAACTTTGGCACATGCAGATACACAAGCAGACACAAACTGGATGGACAAAGCAGAGCGTGCTCGCCTTGCCCTAATCCAAACGCTGACAGATCACTCATTCAGTAGGGCATGTATGTGAGTGCAAGATTAACCCCGCTTACGCATACAAAAGAGCAAGTCACTACTGCACACACGCACGCACACACACGTCTGTTTTCTGCATTACACTCTCTCCAGTTCTAATTTACTGCTGGTGAGGAAATTATGAGTATCCCAGCTGCCCTGGTTCTCCAGGTCTTGAATTTTGGCTGTAGGAACAGCTATTTGTAGACTGTGCTGATAGTGTTACCATCAAATAAACACTGCATAGATGGCAAGAAGGTAATTACTGTCTGTAGTGCATCTCTGCCAAATGGCCTATTTCTATCAGTCGAACAACTCCCCCTGATTTGTCTGCTTACCTGCAATTATTTTCATTTTCAGTTCATCTATCGCTGTTTTAAATGAGTACATTTATCATCCAGTCTATAATATGATAAAAAAAAATAATGACTAATGCTCATCAAAAGTTATCAGAGCCCAAAGTAAATGTATGTGAAATGTTCCCTTTGGGATAATGTGAAATGCTGAAAAGGGAAAGCAACTAATTTCATGCATGAGGGAACGGCCATAAGAGATTTGGGTACTGAAAGGCTAATAAATAACAGCGGTGATGAATTACTACATAAAATGATTAAATGTTATGATAATCCCAAAAATTATGACTATAGCTAAAATTATCTTTCTTCTAACAACTTTTTTATTAAAATTGTGTCTTTTTTTATAATCAATTGAAATTCTATATTAATATGGAAATAGTTTTTAAACGGGGAAACTACAATAGATTTGTCAACGCTGCCTCTGCCTATTTAAAGATGACACATTGTTGTTTTCGGCCTGTCGGTAGCTTTATCCGGTACCATCCAGTGCTGGGTACACCCGCTGTCCACCTGAGGTACCAACTCCCATAGACGCAGACCTCTCGTGATGAAAACATCCTCTGACATGTCTCACCCTCCTGTTCACACAAGGCCAGGATGAAGCCATCGCTCCTTTAGATATCCGGTAACAGAGGGACACTGTGTGTCATCACACGACAGCATAACGGCACCAGTTAACAAGCCTAAACACTGGAGGACACACTCTCCTTGTTCGGATTTAAACTCTTTTTCGGAGGGTGGATCCATTCACTTAATAGCTTAGACGCTGCAGTGTGTTATAAGTTCAGAGGGAGCGGAGAGACAGACAGATACTTCTCCATCACTTTACCCACATTAATCTGTTTTATAAGTTTGATGTGTGGTTGAAGCTGGGCATCTAGTGTTTCACGAATGGGGAGGCTCTTACTGGCACTTTATCAGCTCAGAATGAAAGTGAACCTTTCTGTGTGATGCAGAATATACGACAGCGCATCCACTGCTGCATATTAGTCATGTTCTCATCGAGCCTCGTCTTTTGCAGACACACTCTGTGCAGCAAACTCTGGCCCCTGGCTAGGGACACAGATATACAAATATACTGATATAATTTGGTATCTGTTATTGGTCTGAAAATCTCCTCAGTGAAAGCCCAATAATATTTTAATTTGGCCTGATGGGAAACTAGCATTTTTGTGATCTTGTATCTTATGCCACATAATACACATTTGTGATATTGCACAAATTGAAACAACTCAATTCCCATACAGTAGACATGCTCGCTCTCTCTTCTGCAGCAGCATTACGTCTCTTGCAAACATGCCTGGAGGTTCAGGTCTGTTGGTAGTGGGGGGGGGAAATCTCAAATATCCATACTGGTCTCACATTTTTGCCTCACTGTAGGTTTTCCAAATATAGCCAAACATGAACACCTTTTGTTTTCCAGGTTTGCACAGCAGAATGGGGCCTCGCAGTGAAAGAAAGTGACTGAACCAAGTGAGGAAGAGTGAATGAGGGAGAAAAAAATGCACCATCATTGTGCTCATCCCTGGTGTTTACTTCCCATGTAGACAGATTCAGTGTTTTGAGGAGGACATCTGGTTGGGTTCAGACAGTGTGGACGCTAGCACACATCAAGGAAAAGCATCCACCCCATCCTGTTTTTATTTATATCTGCACTATCACAGGCCTGGTTGTCAGCCATTAAAAAAGCTAATTATCCATTCATGAAAGAGTCTTTCAGACTTTCTATATTAGTTCATGTGAGGGGGTTTTTATCTTTTTACATTTAATTGCCATAACTGCCAGAAAGCAAGTTAAGGGAACATTTAGTGAACCGTTACAGGTCAAATTATGTCAACAAGCCTTGGAAGTCAGGTCAGAGAGAGCAAGAGTAAGTGTGTTTGCTGGTTTAGAGATGAGCTTCAGTCAACAACGCTGACTGCGATACTTGCCTGCCGACTGTTTGATTGGCGAGCTGTTTCATCCGATTGAACTGCTTCTTCATTTTCGGTCCCTTGCCAGTCTATCCTTCCGAAGTTACGCTTCAAAGCCGGGCTTTGGTTTGTCATGAAGTTCACAGGGCCTCTCCCCTGATTGAATTCCCCCCAAGCTGTCGCTATGACAGGGAAAAACAAGCGAGAGCCATTGAGCCCAAAGCCAATTAAAAATAGTTTGTAGCCTCGCTAGCCCCTAAGCTAGCCTTTCCCAAGTGGAAATTCTAGAGAAAAGTTCCCGTTGGGGGCGACGGCATGTTCCGCGAACCTCCTTTTTTGTTTATATCCGTACATTAAAGTCCCGAAGTAAGCCGCGACTAACTTTCACTGGCTCCATCGGCTTTTCATGGCTCTTCCCTCGGTTGCTGTCTTGACCGTTAGCCGGGCGAGCTAACGTTACCGAGCTGGATAATCCGTCGGCCGCTTTTTCCCAGAGCGGAGCAGAGTGAGCAGCAGCAGCAGCAGCTCCTCACCTCCGCCACTGCCAGCACACACAGAGAGGGAGGGAGAGAGAGGGAGAGAGAGGGAGAGAGCAGCAGCATCTGCCACACAGCACCACCTCCTCCTGGACACCGGCAGGAGAAACCCGCTGACACACAGCAGCGATGTACGGATGGAAAGAGTCCTTTACTGGCTACTGTAACATAAAATAAAAGTGCTATAATGAAAAATGCTGACCTCAAATTTAGAGTCATGCATTCATAATTCTTGTTTCTACCTGTGTTTGCATTGTTCACATAATACTGCTTAGAAAATCTATTTTATTCAAGTTTGTTTAAACAAGTGGCACTGTGCTCCAGATTGATTCAACTCGAACAAAGTTGCATACTTGGTGTGATTTTTCATGCAAGAGCTGTTTTTGCAAAGTGCAAAAAACATTTTAGTTTATTTGATTCATATTTTATGCAAAATACTTGCATTGCCAGTGCCAGCATACCTCAAAATTATACTGAGTCCCCCTCCACTTAAAATATTGTTTCATGTAGTTGGATGTTTGAGCTTCACTACACTAGAAGATTTTTTCACACATCACAGTCGATTTTAGGGGCGGATAAGTGACATCACAAATAGTTTAAAAGTCATGCTGGTCCAGTATGCAATTTATACAGTGTGATGTAGAGACCTGAAGTCACCAGAGCTCATACACTGAGAATTGACTTTACAGTGAAGAAGGAGACATCTTGAGGCAGAAGGAGAAAATGCCTTTTTATGGATTTAAGGAAAAAACATTAAATTATTGTTCCAAGCAGACGATTTGTATTATGTCTCATGTCTGGACTGAATTTTTAGGTAAAGGGGTTCACAATATATCTGCCAATGTATTATATCAAGCAACTGTTGCAAAAATGATGGCACTGGCTTGCACTCTAAAATCCACTCATGACTGTGCAATATTATGAGCCATTAGGTGCGAGTTTTTAATATGTATTTTGATCATAATATTCTATTTTTGTTTAAATATGACAATTACCAATCCATTTTGAATGAATTTTCACTTACATTTCTACACACATTTGTTGGTGCAGTAGTGTCAGTATATTACAAAAAAGCTTTCAGAGATCCACCTGTGAAAAAGATTCACTGGGAAAATAATTTGAGTTAATCACATTGAGTGGTTGCACATGGGATTTTGTAAAGGCATACGGCGGTGTTATTATAAAAACGATCAAATCTGTTTAAATCATACAAATTAAAAAGGCAATGGTGCTATATCTAAAGAGCACATGCAGTAAAAATGGGCCACATGTGAGCCTCCCACGTGTCTTTCCTTTCCAATTCTTCCAATTAGTGTTTTGTGTTGCGGACACTTTGATTTACCCAGATTTCCGTTCTTGTGGTTTTCTCCCCTGTGGGGCTTCTCAAATGGATTTTTAATAAAGCTGCTGAAGTTTCTCCCATAAGTAGGACAAGTCTTTTTCTCTTTCATGTGACTTTCTACATGCTGTGCCAGGTTCTCTGGGGAATTCAGACAACACACTCCTCAGAGCCATAAATTAATTCTTGATTATCTGAGAGACAAGGCGTCCTCACTGAGGTTGGTTTTGTAACCGTTGGATTTCTCACACAGTTTGCAAGGAAATGTGTCCGAGAGGCTTTAGATTCCATATTTCACAGGGGACTTGATGTCCTGTCATTGTTCTCCACCTTTTTCATGTTTCCCCCCTCTTTAAATCTCCCCAAAGTGTGATCTCACACCATTCAATGTTTTCACTTTTATCATCCTTGCTGTCTTTACTTTCATCTCCAGAGATGATAATGGTTGGCTGGTTCTAGTGCCTCTTATTCTGGTGTCTCAATACTGCTTCTTTCCCTGGTTTTGTTGATTTCTGACTGTTCAGCAGAACATTTTCCATTTCCTGAATTTGGTTAAGTTACCTACTAACAGAGACAACAAGAGGGGCAAATAATCATTAAGGGTTTAAATGTAAAAGCAAAGTAACCCTAAGCAAGACGTTCCCAACAAACCACCTACTCTGGCAGGTTTAAAGACTATAGTTGTCATTTTTAACAGGCTTAAAAAATAGACACAAATTTTAGGAAATAAAAACACTGCTGAGATTTTAGTACTAGGGTCTATTTTATTTGTGTGCAAAATGGGAACTTTTGCAGTGACACTTTTACTCTGAAAAACCCTAACCGGAAGTGTCATCTGGTGGGAACTGTCGCTGCAGTTCGTCCAAGTTGTTATTAGACAGCAAAATATTCGACTCTCCTTTAATACTGCTCATTTTCATCCAACTCGCAGTCTGTATGCTGTACACAGGTACTTGAGGAACCCGACTATGCTCTCGGTTTTATTCTCCCTCCAGTTTTGTTTAATAACCCCAGCTGTCAAATTGAGCTAGCCCAGTTAGCTTGTTGGAGCTAGCCCAGTGTAACGTTAAGCAGGTGGGTGAGACTCTTCAACGCGTACGGCTCTGATGTTGACTACATAACGTAAGGACAAGGACCATTAATGGCAGCTCGGCAAGCCTTCACAGACACGGATACTTCGGATGAAGCAGTGAGGGCGACCTGTGACGATGCAACCATATGCAAGAGGTAACTGTGACATGCAGCTAACGTTAGCACAGTCCGTAGTAATCTGTTAGGCAACATTAAATGATCTATAATATAAGTCCCCCCCTTCCTCCACACAACAATACGTCTTTGTCTTTGTACATGAGTGATGTGTGTGCACAGTTTGACACTAGAAGGTTGTTTTCACATTGCCTACAGGCATGTTTTGTGTCATAACAAACAACCTGGAAGTCAACCCTGGTCCACCTGCAAAGTATACAGGTGTGATGTTAGAAATGTGAAGCCAGTAGTGCACAAACACTGAGAATGGACTTTATAGTGAAGTAGGAGAGAGCTTGTGTCCAGCAGGAAAACTTTAGACAAAAAAATGCCCTTTTAAGGATTTTAATATATATTTTTTGTGGGGAAAAAAAACATAATATAGCCAGCCAGGTGTTGGCTCTCAACAGTTTCACAATGAACAGGCAGTGTACACTTTTCCCCCTCATGGTTTATTATGGGGAAGTTTGTTTATGGATCAGCAAAACCAAAAATGAAGCAGAAAATTGCAAACATCTCTAGAGATGGGTCTTTATTCTCAATGCAATAGGCAGTACTAGCAACCTTTTCACATTTCAGGGCCATTTAATTCAATAATATCAAAGATGTTGGGTCATTGTTGTTACATGTATAACACCTCCTCATTATATTTATAATGGGTATACTAGGTTTGCTACCAGTAAAAACTACTGGAAGGACCCCTATATCCAGTATTTCGCAAGATCTGTAGGGGAGCGGAAGGCACCTGAAATCAATAGAGGTAAGTGATACAGTCTCTTCTTCAGAAGTATTCTTTAGCTCGGTCAGAGGAAATATGTGGTACAATTCATAATATTAATCAGCAGCATTACACCCCTCTCTTTACAATGTGGTTATTAAAGACTTGTGTAGGCTTTTGGTAAAGATGCTCTGAGAAATGCCTTTTTGTAAGTGAGGTAGAGCGTGTGTGTGCTTCATTAGCTTATTTTACTGACCACTTATATCATCTGACAGGTTACTATGCCCGTGTTAAAGGAGTTAACCATCTCCTTGATGCATTTATAAGGAAAACCGAGTGTGACTGTCAAATAATCAACTTGGGTGCCGGACTGGATACCACGTTTTGGAGACTAAAGGTTTGTAATATTACATCTCACTGTCAGCGCTCCTGGCTAAATGTGATGCACAGTCTGATGTGGCTTTTGTTCCTGTCGGATTTCTGTATCACACTAAACACATCTACACTTAACTATCTTCAAACCTTTAGAGTTACAGACATTTATTGTTTGTGTGTTTGTTATAGGATGAAAACCTCATGCCACAGAAGTTCTTTGAAGTTGACTTTCCAACAGTTGTGGCCAGGAAAATACACAATATTAAGTAAGACAACCATGCTATTATTGTTGCTTATTATCAGTGCATGCCTTCTGTGGCTTTGGTGTTGCAATGTGGGGTTGAGATCGTTAGGGGGAGACAGAGCTCTATTTCTTCTGTATGTTATCATTTCATGTATGTAAGTCTAATAGTAACTACCGGCTATGTTAAGCTCTTTATGGTACAGTCAGAAATATCTTGTACACTGCGGTAAGTCACAATTACTACCATGGAACCTAAGCTAGAAATAAAATGTAATAAAATGTTCCTATAAGCTATTGATAATAGCATAAAACTGAGTATATGTTTACATTATATATATACTAGTAACTGAGTATATGTAAACTATATATCTGTTGCTTTTGATGCAGAGAGCTACAAATGAGTAGTGTACCATGTAAAATGCCTGATTGTAGCATATCTTTGGGTTTATCATTGGTTGAATGAATGGCAATGGTGTTTTTTCTTTTCTTTTCTTTGACTAGGACGAAACAGCCACTGTCCAAACCCCTCATTGAAACCCACTCAACGGATTCCTTACTACTAGGTAATGGTCAAAAGTTACAATCAGTATGTGACACATCTATGAGGTTTAGGTAAAAATACATCTGTTTAGCATCGTTTCCAGCTTTCCTTACAGTGTATGTTTGTGTTTTTGTTTCCTCAGATGCCCACAGCCTTGACTCAGACCGCTACTGTATCATCGGGGCAGACCTCAGAGACATATCTAATTTGGATGAAAAACTGAAGAAGTTCCAGCTTAATCCAGAGTATGTGAATACGTGTTTTCGTCGTCTCACTTTCTTGTCAGTTTTGTATTTGGTTCCAGTCATGCTAAGCAGATGATTAGCAGATGAGTCCCTCGTACTGCTGTCTGCCAGCTGTCACTAGTTTTCCCAGCATGTCTTAAGAAACCCAAGAATGGACGCTTATCTCTGTGTTCTCTCGCTGTGAGTGTCTTCAGATAACAGAGTCACTCTGCAGAGCGCCTATATGGCTGTGATGCAGATGTATTGTCTGAGCCTCATTTGAAAAGATGCCCCCGCCCAAAATGCATGTTTCGAATAGTGGATATGCAGCTGTGTGCTCAGTATGTTTGTCTAAAATATTTCTAAATATGATACTTTAAGGAGGGTGGTAGCGTGATCATTTGTTCCATCGTAAAACTATTTCCACTAAATCTACATTTTTAGTTTTTCATGTGCTGAGTGTGTCATACTTGGGTGGGGTATCTGTACTTTATCAGTAGCTGTGGACCCAAGACACATCACTGTTTTATAGTAGGATGTTGGGTGGCACAGACATCCTTTTTTGTACGATAGGATGTTTTCTATGGCAAGGAGAGCTGAGGCTCCCAGACTCCTTCACCTCAGATCGTAACTTGCATATTATTACCTTTATTTTTCCAGGGAAGTTTGACAAAGAGTGAGCCTCTCTTTTACAGGAAGCTGACAGGTGTGAATTTAGCATTTTTATTACTCTTTATTGTTTAAGAGCAAAGGGGCATTACTTTTTTTTTTTCTACGAACAATGAAGGTTTGAAGTATCAAAGGTAATATTCCTCTGTGAATATAAAAGATTTTTTTTTTTTTTAGTTTTATAATAAGTCTCTTTAAGATCACAGAGCACAAAGGATAAACTCTCCAGAGTTTTAATTAGTTTAGAAGGAAGATTATGTGACGGGTTGTCATGCTGAAATCATTGAAGATTAACATTGTGCCTCTCCTGATGATTAGTTTTTTATTTGTCATATGCAGAACAATTACAATAAAGCTTGGCAATTCTGCATACTCAACATTTCTGTGTTGTCCTGGCACAAAAGAACATCGGCATCAGCTATGGACCAAATTATTTTAATTAATTATTTTAAACATTGGGACATATTGGGCCAATACCAGTCAATGCATCCCTTGTACACTGTGCTTACATTAATCCATATCTGGAGCCACATAACAGAAATTTAAAACATTTATTAAAATAAACAAAATAAGTACCCTCTACTTGAGAAAGGAATTTTGTGTGTGTGTGTGTGTGTGTGTGTACATCTGGTTATGTTGTTGTGGTTAAGTGTACTGCTCTCACTCCCAGATTACCCACGTTGCTCCTGTCAGAGTGTGTGCTGGTCTATATGACGCCCTCCCAGTCCTCCAATCTAGTTCACTGGGCAGCAGAAACCTTCCACACTGCCATGTTCATCAACTATGAACAGGTAAATGAAACAGATGACTTCATCCCAGTTCTGTTTTTCAGGTCTCAACTTAACCAAGTGTCTCGATTTCTTTTGTATGTAAAAATACTTTTGTGTGGCTGTGGTGGATTGTTGATGTTAATACACAATTATTAGAAATGATTGTATTATCTTTTGTAGTGTCTTAGGTTTTTTAAAACTTCATCGTATATGCACTTAGTGGATAAAGTGGTTCAACACACTTGATATGAAAGTAGTCATTTGGTTATCAGCAACTTGTACCAGGCTAGGTATTTGACTCGACAGAAGTAATACATGTGTGTTTCAACCTGAGATTTAATTATGTACCCCTGCTCTCTGTGTCCAGCTGAACATGAGCGATCGATTTGGCCAAGTGATGATCGAGAACCTGCAGCGTCGCCAGTGCACCCTGGCAGGAGTGGAGGTCTGCCAGTCTCTGGACTCTCAGGTAACCTCCAACACTCGACCCAATGTTTCACAACCAAGACAACAGGGTTATTGTGAGTTGAGTGTCCAGTAACCTGTCGGGTCCAAAATGTAAGAATGATGAGGGTCTCTTGTTCGTGAGATCCTTTGCACTTTGCACACGAGGATCTGTTTGTTGTATCTTTTGGTTCTTTGTCTTTTTGAGAACATCCAGACATGAAGTATTTTAATGTGTGTGGTTTGCAGAAGGAGCGGTTTCTGAAGACTGGCTGGGAGCATGCTGACGCTCTGGACATGATGACGGTCTACAGTATGCTGCCCCAGGAGGATGTGGCAAGGTATCTGCCAAAGTACTACCATTAAACCCAGCTGTACAAAAACTGCTTTATTTTTGGATTTCCTTCGTTCTGTGTATAGTCTGATACGAAAGATCGCGATTAAATGCAGAATAAGGAAATTTGTTATTAATAATTTCTTTCAGAATTGAGCGTCTGGAGTTCCTGGATGAGAGGGAGCTTTTGCAACAACTTCTTCAGCACTACAGCATCTGCTGGGCCACCAAGGACAAACTCAATCTGGGTAATTCACAGTTATGTTACATTTAAAGTAATGGGTATGTTAGCTGTAGTAGGAAATGTGAAACTATTACTGCTCACTTCCAGGATCATTTGATCCCTATGGCGCCACGCTGTCCATTAGCCTGTTTACTTAGTGTTACTCATGTGTGTTACATTTTTCACATTTCCACCCATCCTCAAAGTTTGAATGTCTGGTGTGGTCATTTACAAAAACAGGTCATGTTCTGTTTCCTCAGGGCTGTCACAGTTGGCATTTTAAGTGTGAAACTACTCCACTGTCGGACATGCTTCACATGTGTGTACGCCAAAATCAACAACAGGAGAAGATGTGTAAAGGGAGACATTGGGAAAGAGGAAGCTCTCATTCTCCATCAAGCCCTCAACTGGGAGCTGTTCCGGCGTGAAAACTCCCTGCATCAGCAGAATGTGATTTCATAAGCGTCCTTTTTAACCCCGCACATGTTGAAGATAACAGAAGATGTGGTCGAGAGCTGTGAAGAGGTTTTCAACTGTAAAGTGACCACACCGTCACTTAAAAATGTTGTTTAAAAATCTGGTCACCTCTGTTGCAGATTAAAGAATGTATGAGGTTTGACATTTCAGATGTCAAATATTTGTCTCTGTCTGGTTTTTATGTGCCATTTTGATTTTATTTATTAATCAATTGTGCTTCTCAGACTCATTTTCTTACAAAACATACATGCATGTGGTAGAACTAGTGTCAAACTGCAATAAATGGTACAACTACTGGTTCATTTGCATTTACCTGTAAAAATGTTTTCTATTCTGGAGTTTAGCTTTCAAACAGGTAATAGGACATGACAGATTAGTTTGTGATAGATTATATTTGATGAATGCTGGTCAAGTGCAGTTGAATAAAACAATTCTGTTGTTTACGACTGTGTGTCTGTTCATTTATTGGACTTCCCTATTCCTTAAACTATATACTTACATACTTAAAAGTAGTGTCACCTTCACAAAAAGCAACAGGATCAAATGCACCCTGGTTGCCATGGGGGTTGCAGTATCTTTACCTACCCCTAACCCTGCCATTGGGCCACCCCCCATCCTCCACTGTTAACATATCACCAACTGTATTTAGGCATCTATGCTTATTAGTTAGACTATACTTAACTTTTCTCAGCTTTAGTCAAATTATTTTTCTCTATTACAGTAACAACTGGTCACATGACTACTTGTGTTCTTATAATGATGTGAGTGAATACAGGGATTTATCATCTGACTGCATTTTTCCTAACTTATACTGGGCTTTGTAGCATTTTTCAGATTTGTTTTAGTTTCCCAGCTCCAACTTTAATGTTTTGGTTGACTCTCCCCGCTCTCATCAGCATCTGCCGTAATATATGCTGCCTCTCGCCCACGGCCAAATGGCAAACCGACGAAGTTAAAGACTAGCTGTTGACGTGGTGGAACATTAAGCTGATAAAGAGTCAGATATTTCCATCAGGGAGAAAGAGGAGACCAAACACAACTAAAAGGAGAGAGACTTACATTTGTCTCCCAACTTAATGCGAATGTTGCTCCATACTTGCTGGATGGGTAAATGTTTGCTGATAAGCAGTGGTGAATTTATATTCCACTTCACTAGATTTCAGAGGGACAGTTTTTACAGATGTTTTCTGAGCTTTTTATACCTTTATTTGATAGGAGAGGTGAAGATAAACAAGAAAGGTGGGAGAGAAAGCGAGGTGAGCTACCATGCATTCCAGAAATAGCACACTTTTTCCCCCACTACTTTAACTGACTGATCTCATTTGTCCCTGCATAGATAACATTAAACCAACCTTCACTATCCATCTTAAAACTGATAATAAACACATGTGGAGGAGGGTTGCAGCCAGGCCTGTAGCTGACACTGATCATGTCTTCTGTATGGTTATCTGGGGTTTTAACAGTCTGAGGGGAGTTTATGTTCTGTATTTAAAAAACCAAATACAAATATTTTACTTTTCAACTACATTTCTCCAATAGTTTTAGTCACTAGTTACTTTGCAGATTAATAATACAAAATATAAATCAACTAATAGATTATGATTGCCTATATTATCATAGATTGAGCTACCCAGCAGTAAGTAAAGAAATTTCAATTAAATTTAGTTATGTAATATATATTATTATGAAATGGCACTTTAATACTAGGACTTTTACTTGTGATTGGTCTTTTTACATTTCTTTAAATAAAGCAGTTTTTACATCCTCTGGAAATCCCTGCTCATAAACTCAATTGGCTTAACTAAAATAACAGCATTCTCCATTTCCCCTAATTAGTACATAACTATATACTACTAGGAAATTATAAGAAAATTATTGATCCATCAAGTATTTTTCCCCTACAAGAAGACTTCCAGGATGCAATTCTGGTGAAGAAATGATGAACTAAACTTTAATATTTGTTGGCCTAAGTCCAATTCAAATATACTAATTCTAAAAAATACTGCAATCAGTTTTAAGAAATTCTATATAAAATGTGAAGACTGCTAAACCCCCAGACTACCATTAAAAAGATGCAGATGTCCTTACAACAACCCTCCGTCACACATGTATTTCTTATCAGTTATCAGCTGTATTTATCAACAATAATTAAATGATTAAATGGACACCTTAAAGGTCAGTTTAATGTTTGATATCTACTGTATCTAGGGACAATTTTGATATGACCTTTCTATTTTGATTGAATTTAATCTTAACATTTTAAAAGTTAAGTTCCCAAGGAATTGGCTATCGCAGGTTATCATTAAATAAGCTACACACTCAGATATATTTAAATGATTTTACTGGTACTTAAAGAAGTGATTGTTGCTGTTGAGTAATAAAACACCCCTCACCCTTATCTGTATCTGCATGTTCTCTGACAGTCAATAACACAGTGCTAGTTGTTTTATGAACTTCACATGATTGAGTGTCAATAGTCATGGGAGTATAAACAATTGCAGGAAGGTGGGGCATCAGAGGAAAAAAGAAATGGGGATGTGCGTATGTCCTTTGTTCATCACCCTAAGAATGGCTTATATACATGCCTCTACACACATCAGACCAGACCAGTGGTCCATCAGAGGAACAAGTGAGCCTGACCCAGGGTAGAAAGGGGTTTTCTTCCAGTTCAGCATGTCAGGGGAAGAAACCAAGACAGAGATCTTCACAGTAACTGATATGGGAGAGCCAACGAAGAGAAGCATATTTGAGCAGTATGTGCAGCCCTGCCTGGCGGAGCTGTTTGGGACATGCCTGTTTGTGTTTGTGGGGTGTGCGTCTGTTATTGGGAATGTGGATGGTAACCTCCAGCCTGCTGTGGCACATGGACTGGCGCTGGGAGTGGCGATCATGATGTTTGGGCAAATTAGGTAATGATAACATTCAATTTGTTTTGTGCTTTCAAATGCTTAATATTGTATGTTTTTGAGCTGATTGATGATTTTTTTTAATTTTTACAATATTAGAAATGTTGCCATGGCATTTTGGTTGCTTTCCTGCTAAAACCACATGTAGAGCCAAAGACAACATGAACAGATTTATTAAACATATAAATCTTATTTAAAGAGAATTTACCTTAACATGTGAGTGAGTTTGCTGTGATTCAACAACTCATTTGCAGCTACAGAGGTATAGGCTACACAAATAAAGTTTCAATTTGTTTGAATGATTTGATGCAACAAAGTTAAAAAAAAAAATCATTATCATCTGTTTATCCAATGTCAGATGGCAAGGTATTGTTATGATCAGTTTATGGCATCATTTAAGAGACACAGAGCAAAGTTCATTATGTTTATTGCAGTGGGGGCCACTTTAACCCTGCAGTGTCCCTGAGCGCCTACCTGTGTGGAGGAATGGATCTTCTTCTGCTGGTGCCTTATATTCTGGCTCAGATGCTGGGAGCACTGGGTGGTGCTGGTTTGACCAGGGTAAGAAAAAATATGGAAGACCAATTCTGCCAGGAAAAAAAAAGAAAAAAGATGCAAAGTCATAATAAAAATAAAAATACATATGGTACTTAACATACAGTTAAAAATGTTTAACTTAAACAGTCAATATTCTGATTTACTAACTCAAAATTATTAGATAATAAGTTATAATGTTAGAATCAATATTTTTGACCTATCTCATAATTATAATTATAACTTACTGACTAAAAAAGACGATTTTGTAAGTCTAAATTTTGACGTATTATCTCCAAAGTTTGATTTAATACATTTTGACCTAATCCACATCAAAATAATGACTTAATATTTCAAAATGTTGACATCATATGATGTTTAATCATATGATAATTAAAATGTTACAATTTTGATCTCTCATATTTGTGACTTATTATCTCATAACTTTGACATAGTAACTTCAATTTTTTATTTATTTTGTCATTATTCTGGTATCTTTTTGGTTTTGATTTATTGGCATAGTCTGTTGGGTAGAAAAAAAAAATGTCAATAAATGAAAACTATCCACTCCAGTCAAATTTATCATGCACTGGTTGATATATGTTCATTTTGTTCTACTTGCAGGCAGTGTACCCCTTCAATGTGTATGATGGGTCCTTGGGCGGCGCCTTTCTCGTACCCTCTGATGATCTGGCTAAAGTCACACTGGCGGAGGTGATAATGACCTTGTTCCTTACCATAGTGGTGTGCATGGGGGCCATCAACAGTCAAACGCGCTCACGGTTAGCTCCGTTCTGCATCGGCCTCACCGTGACAGCCAACATACTTGCTGGGTAAGAGCGTCAGCCAGGAAGTCGTCCCCAACATCACCATTAGCTGTTAATTTGTATTTTCTGTACATTTTCTTTAAATGAAGCAGTTCTGATCTCCTCTTGAAATCACTGCTCATAAACTAAAATAACTGTCTCATAGCACTCTCCATTTCCCCTAATTAGTACATAACTGTATACCTCGAGGAAATTATAAGAAAATTATTGACCCATAAAAATAGACTGCCCATGAGTTATTCCCTCCAAGAAGGCCTAAAGCTGCCAGAATGTAATGCTGGTGGAGAAATACTGAACTAAACTTTAATATTTGTTTGTAATATAAGTCCAACTTAAATACACGTAAGTCTAAAAATACTGCAATCAGTATTAAGAAATTCTGCTAAACCCCCAGACTATCATTAAAAAGATACAGAGGCCACAACCCTTCCTCACACATATATTTATTATCAGTTCTTTTTATTATCAATTATTAACTGTATATATTATCAGTTATTAAATGGACACCAAGATCCATAATTTGTTTTGGTTATCACCTTAAAGGTCAGTTTGATGTTTTTATTCCACATATATTACAATATATATTATATGCTTGTAATGAAGTATACTGCAGGCTGCCTAGCACAATATCATATCTCTGTTGCTGAAAAGGTAATTGTTACATGCATGCTGTTGAGCTGCACCTCTCTGGTCAGCAGCTATGTTACAGTAATGGTATGTGCTGGCTGTTGTTTCAGAGGGAGGTTGTCTGGAGCCTGTATGAACCCCGCCCGAGCCTTTGGTCCTGCAGTGGTTGCCAACCACTGGAACCATCACTGGATCTACTGGGTTGGACCCACTTGTGGTGCACTGATCTCTGTCAGCCTCATAAAGTACGTATATTTCAGAACACTGAGGTAGTTTTTATTTTTGCTTTTTCAAACATTTTCCACTCTTAGTATTTAACAGGCTTTCTAGATTTTTTGGGTATGTAATAAAACCTTCAGTTGGTTATAGTTAAGTAACATTTAATGTGTTTGTGAGACCTCAATGATACACACCGAGTTTACACTGAATGTAAAACTCCACGGGGGAACCTTTCATAATTAAAACAGTATGTTTGTGGTACTTTCCCACCCTTGGGGGTTTCAGATTGCAGTTTAGGTTAATAATATACATCGATCAGCCATAACATTATGACCACACTGATTATCTGGTTATCATGGCACCTGTCAGTGGGTGGGATATATTAGGCCAGCAAGTAAACATTTTTGTCCTCAAGTGATGTGTTATGAACAGGAAAAATGGGCAACGTGAGGATTTGAGCGACTTTGACAGGGGCCACATTGTGATGGCTAGACGATTGAGTCACAGTAGACAGGTGTATAGATAAGGGACTGGTTTAAACCTGAAAGGTCCACGGCTACATAGATTTTGCTTTAAAAGTAGTTTAGTAGTAATAGTAGCAAACTCCGTCCCCCTTTTCCACTGGACTTCAGTCTAACCTGACACAGAGCCCTAGCTCTATTACAGTCTGACCTCCTGTTAAATATGACCTGTTTGTCAACCTATTACTACTATTAGTACTATTAAATCGTATTATTAACCATGAATGAATTATGAGACAATGGAATAATAGGCTTATGCATTTAAAATGCCCCCCACCCTTCCTATATTGGATCCCTAGACTTATAGAGACACAAAACAAAAGTCTTTTTGTACTTGTTTTGTGTCTTTTTGTAGTTCTTTTATGTCTTTTTGTAGTTGTTTTGTGCCTCTGGGCCTGTGCCCAATAGGCCTGTTCAGTAATCCAACTATGTTCTTAACATGATGTCATACACAGTGCTGTTTGAAGTGACCAATAATGACCAGTTCCCTAATTTAAGAATCACTCTTTTGCAGGTTTGTGTTTGGTGACAAGAAGACTCGAATTGTGTTTAAGTGAATGTCTAATTTATTAAAGAAGAAGAGAGAGAAGACATCCCGACTGACTTAATAATTAGACTGTAAAATTTAAATATGTGTGTCCTATATATAATATTAGTCCTTAAACTAGCTATACTCCTACTCAATGCCATGTTTCTATTTCTGTATTCAATAAAGTGTTTGATGATATGATAGGGATCTGATAGCTAATCCTAAGTTGGACTTTACATGTTTGACGATAATGCCGGAAAAGGTCTGCAGACATTTGATAATAAATTCCTTACATACAATTGGATATGAATGATCGCACTTTCTGTTATCTATTTACAGTCTTTTTGTATTCATTGTTTGGGTCAAAGTCCTAAATAGCTTTATTACTGAAAATGGTACAAGGACAGGGCACTACAAGATAATAAAGCTAGATGAGAATCATTAACTGGTGCTTCTAGATCAACTGAAACATAGCAATAAGTTACATTAAAAAGCTTTCTAAATACAGATGTATCTCATATATTCATCTTAAAATAATGGATGACGATGAAGATCATCTACCTTGCCAACCTATCTATTCAAGAGACTGTTAGACTGTTATGTGAAATTAAAGTTTGAATATGGAATGAAATTTTATGTGATCAGGACACTGCGCTATCTTGTGCTTTTGATACTATTCCATAAAGATGTTACTGCAAGAAGTGTGCAATTGTGAGTGTGCACGGAATCTATAAGAAGCAGTCCTAACTAATGAAGAGACAATTAACACCCTGGCGAAAGCGGGCCGACATTCACGCATTCTAACTGTACTGTAGCTGTATTTTCAAACACAATGCATAGGAAGTAGCAAAGGTTTAATGTGGTTAAAGCAGGAAAGTCTGTAAATCAGTCACTGATCTATGAATGAACGTAGGTGATTCTTACAGTATCTGCTGTCCACAACTGCTTTATATTGTATAATAGGCCTCTCCTTCAGTTCATGAAGTCCCTGCAGCATCTGAAGGCCTTGACACACATCAGACTGGTTGGATATTCATTCAATACTTTCTTTTTTAAAGTATATTTTTTAGGGCTTTTATTGCCTTTATTATAGTGACAGCTGAAGATAGACAGGAAAGCGGGGCAGAGAGAGGGGATGACATTGCAGCAAAGGGCGCAGGTCGATTCAATACCCTGGGCCGCTGCATCAAGGACTCAGCCTTGGTACATGGGTCGCCAGCTCTACCCACTGAGCTAACCGGGTACCCATTCATTCAGTACTTTCTATACCTAAAGCATGTCATAATATGTATAAGATGTTTCTTTATTTGGTGTCACTGGTGGAAGTATTCAGATCCTTTACATAAAGGTATACTCAAGTAAAAGCACAGATGTGTTATCAGCTAGAACCCCTCCTGCTCTGAATGTCAGCATCTGAATTCTTTTTTCTTATAGTTTTTCATTTACTTTAGTTAAGTAAAAATACCAATACAACCATGTAACAATACTCCATTACAAGTAAAAGTCCTGCATTTGTTCTTGATCATTGAAATGTACTTAAAGTATCAAAAGTACAAGTACTAATTCTGCAGAATATATGACCGTATTATTGTTAATACTGATGCAGTAATACAAAAGTACTGTGGTTACTTCTAATCACTTAGGTAGTTGAGTGTAGTAGTTCCCAACCTAGGGGTCAGGCCCGTCCGAAAGGTCAAGAGAAAAATCTCCACAATCATTTGACCTATCTGGGCCTTGAAAAGTTTAGAAGGGAATTATCTCTTTACTGGAACTGCTCACAAATCATTAACATCTGAAATGTAACACAATGAAATATTGTGAGGGGTCACAAGCCAAAAAGGTTCGGAAACACTGGTTTCAACTCTAACAGTGTGTCGCATAGGGGGTCCTGACCACTGAGAACTTAACCTTGATGCATGGTGCCCTCTACCCAGTGAGCTACCTGGGGACCCCTGTATTTGAAAGGTGACTTGTAACAATAACTGTTACATAATTGTAGTGGAGTATAAAACTACACTGTCCTCTGAATAGCAGTACAGTAGAAGTGTAATGTAGGCCTACACTTCATAGCTGTATAGTGTAGAGTGCAAGTAGGCACTAACACATATAAATAGTGTAAAGTCTGTATTCCAGGTCTATCTTATCTATTAGGTCACCATTTACTAGGCAAGCATGTGCATACGAGTAAAGAAATGATGATGAATAAATTGCACATCTTGATCCCTAACCGAACCCTCTGACTGACGACAACCTTGAACGGCACATGCCTTTTTTTGAATCTTATCATTCTTTTATGAAAGGTCACTTTGAGGACTCCTTTAAGGACTGGATTACCTGGCTTGACTCCATCAGACAGAGCTGGAAAGGTGTCAAAGAACCGTTTGGGGTGTGGATTTTCACCTTCAGAACAGGTCATGTTTTTATGACCTGTGAGGCAATTCAGCAACAGTGTGCAGGCCACTGGTGATGATTATAAAAACCCAGAAAACCTTGCAGTGCCACAGTCTGCAGACTAGGTCAGGTGCAGGTGCTGGAGGTGCAGAGTGTCTGTGAGAATCATCCTGGAACAGAAGTCTCTTACAGGCAACAATGGGACTTGAGAAAATGGAAATGGAAGACACAGACTCTGCTCTGATGGAGAAGGGCAAGAAGCCGCCTGTGTCCAAACCTCCCAACAAATATGAGAAGCTGTTCCAGCCCTGCCTGGCCGAGATAGTGGGGACCATGTTCTTCGTTTTCATCGGCTGTGTGTCTGTCATTGAGAATGTGCCAGCGGCTGGACGGCTGCAGCCGGCCCTGGTGCACGGGCTGGCTGTGGCAGTGATGGTGGCGGTCATGGATAACATCAGGTATTTTGTGTAAAGAATAGAATAACATAAAGTCAGATGCTCTGTATTTTTATTATTGCTTTCTTCTTTATGTTTTTGTGTGCAATATCTCTGAATAATACAATTTCTGTAGATTTGTTAATTGTGCATAGTGTGTTTCTTTGTTGAGTGTATGGTGTTGCCTGCAGGTGCAGTGATGTGGACATGAATTTCCCCCTTGGAGGACAATAAATTGAACTGCAATTGAATTGAATAATGATCAACCTCAGCCATTTGATATATTTTGAGTAGAATGGGTCTCAGTGTCCCACCTGATCTCAACTTTTCTCTGCTGTCTCTTCCTCTAGTGGCTCCCATTTCAACCCTCCCTTCACTATTGCCATATACCTGTGTGGGGGCATGGAGCTGGCCATGGTGGGACCCTACCTTGCCAGCCAGCTGATTGGAGGAGTTCTGGGAGCTGGAATGGCCAAGGTCAGGTGAAAGTTCACTGCACAGTTTTCTGATTCTTTCACACAAATTGTAAAATACAAAAACGAATTCAAAGTGACCATAAAATCTTTAATAATACCATTTTTAGATAATGACCCCTGCCGGTCGCTACAACAACGCCACGGGAGCAGCGTTTGATATCCTCAAGTCAGAGAGTCAGCTGTCTGGAGCCATCTTTGGGGAGGTGGCCATGACCTGCTTGGTCACCATGGTGGTGCTGCTGGTGGCGGTCAACGGCAAGACAAAAACCCCGCTGGCTCCATTCCTAGTTGGCTGTACCGTCATCATTAACATCCTGGCAGGGTGAGATAAAGGGGGCGATGACCACAGTGTTTATTGTGTCTGCACTGTGTTAAACATTTACACCCAACTGGACCTGAAAGTTGCAGTCAGTTGCTATATTCACATTTTCACACATATTCATAATGTTTCCCAAAGTGAAATAGTGATAAAAAATCTAATTAAATAAAAAACAGCAGCCAAAAACATAAAGGACATTAAAGGCGTGGTGGTAGAGATGTCTCTCTAAAGATGTGTTTTTTAATTTATATTTTAATTTATTTTATTTGAAATGCACTATTGCTTTCATTAATTTTTTTATTTTTTTTTGCAAATGCCTTACATTATTCGATTGTTTGTTTCGAAATTAAATGCTTTTAAAATGATTTGAAAATCATTATTGAGTTAATGACTGAAAAAATCAATTAACCAATACTTGACGGACAGGAAACGGAATAAAAAGATGTCAAATTAGAATTAGAATTAGAAAATTAAATTTTTTAAATCTTACTTTTAAATTAAATATTTTTTATTATACCACTAGAATCTTCTTCAAATTGTGTTACCAGGAGACTCGGTTTGACTGTCCTAATTAATATGAAAATGCATTTTAAATAACCATATTGCAGTTGTATCAAATATTCTAATTAATGATTAAACTTTTTCACTCGCAGGGGTGATGTATCAGGAACGTGTCTCAACCCTGCCAGGGCTTTCGGTCCAGCTGTGATGACCAACTACTGGAGCTACCACTGGGTTTACTGGGTGGGGCCCATTGGAGGAGGTCTGTTGGCCGCAGCTTTGCTCAGGTAAGAGAAGCCAGATCAGATCACGTGGTTGGACGAATGAATTAATCAACTGATATGAGAGATAAAACTCACAATGTCTCTCTTCTGTTGCAGGCTTATTCTCGGCGATGATAAGTTACGAATTGTTATGAAATCATAACAGCCTCTGATGTGTGTTTATTGCCATATAAACGACAATAAAACTGTAATGTCTGTCTCATATACTTTGGATTCATGATGTTTGATGCTGTACTTTTATTTTATTTTCTTTCATGTCACTGTGTGGATTTTTCAGTATGAAATAAAGATGAAAACATATTGATGGTCTCTTCATTGCTTCCTCTCCCCAATAAAACGCATGTAGACATTATACTCTTACTGTTAAGTAAGAGATATCATAATTCAGGAGACATAAAACACACAGTAGCAGTAGCAGTTTTGGGTGGCATGCAGTTTATTCTTTCATCTTTTGCAATGAGTTACATGGTCGCATGAGGCAGACCGCGTGCCACTCTGTGGGCAGCTCAGCGGTATCTCTCGGACAGAGCCAGGGCTACGGCGGTCAGGAATTTATCGAAGGCGACGTGAGCCTCAGGGGTAAAGTCATTAGGGAACATGGCGGAGACCACCACGAGGACGCAGTGGGACAGGATCTGTGGATGACAGAGGAGACAATTAGATAGCGAACATATGGTTTACACTGTAAACACTTCAATGGAACAAGATAAGCGTGGGTCGATTCAACGTTACCCCCATGTTGCTTACAATGTGGAATACATGTGGGGTGCAAAACATGCTCCAAGTAAAACCTCAAAACTGGTGGATCCGCATCAGAAATACAGATTTTTTTTAAGTCGTTTAAGAGAAATTAAGATACTATGGCTGCACTTGTTGCAGCGCCAATGCGTAATTTACGCGTAAATCAGACTATACCTGTGCGTAAAAGTACCCATACACATAAATCATGTGGGTAGCAGCAGATACTGGCATAAGGTGAAGGTAAGGTAATCTCAGCACATATCTTACATCGCGATATCATAATGTGCTTCATGTCTCACCTTGAAGTTGGCCGGGTCCACCCTCAGCTGGAAGGCGTGCTGCTCGCTGAGCTCCAGCAGGCCGTTTGTCAGGTCGTCAATCTTGGCCACAGCCTGAGCGACTCCACTCATCACCTTCTTTCCGTGGCCCTTTACGGGGGCGGAGCCCGCGCTCATGTCTGGCCAGTGGGAGAAGTAGGTCTTGGTTTGCGGATAGACGGTGAGCATCCTGTGGAGGTGGAGATGTGGGTGTTATAAGTGGCAAACATGCAGCCAACTAGACTCTCCATAGTATTATGACTTAAAATGTTTTTCTTCCTTAGACTGTGGAAGTGGACATTAAATATCCGTATTGTATAGTGGTGTCCAACCAGCGTATGACAGGCTCCAGTGGCGCAATCGGTCCCAGCGCGCGTACTTATAAGACAGTAACCTGGAATGATGCCCGAGGTTGTGAGCTTCTGAGCCTCCCAAGCCCTGGAGCATTAACCTCTCTATTGGTTGTTGATAGGTATGCTAACACATACAATCTAAACTCAAAAACCCTCTCTGATTGACTGGTTCAACTTTGTGATCTGATAGTTACTGTCTATGATCTGCTGCTTCTCAGATTTAGATGTAGAGCATCATACTTATATATTATCTAATGTCAGAAAAGGCCTACCTTTTTTTTTTACTAGTAAACTACTAAACAATTTAAGCAACAAAGAAAATAAACTTTTTAGGCAAACTGACCAAGTGCCCCTGTTAGTGCGCCCATCGCAGGCTGTGAAGTACATATCACATATGAACCCGAAACGTGACACTTACCTGCTCAGAGCATCTGCCCCGATGGCATCCGCGGACTTGGAGATTTTGGCCCACAGGGCCTTGACTGCAGCCTTGTCTTTCTGGGTTAAACTCATGTCGGTTCAGTTCTCTGTCTTTCTCTCTCCACCTGAATCGGACGGTGATCTCTGGTTAGTTTGGACTTGTGCTTAAATTCAGTTGGTTCGAGAGTCACACCCACGGGAACGAATGCCAAGCCACGTCCCCTGACGCAGATCGGACCCTTCCTCCCCGCCTGATAGAAACGAGTGGCCGGATGCCAGCCCTAAGGGGGGCTATCAGCTGCTCACATCGTGGGCGTCAGTTGGCAAAAATATGATAATTTACTTATATTTTGTAAGAGTCCTCATGTGTGGACATATGGTTTGTTAGGAGTTTCTCCTGAGGTAAGGCAGGGGGGCATCCCGGGTCACAGGGGGCGGGAGCAGAGACTCTGGCACACATCAATAAACCTGATCTCAAACATAATCAAATTAATTTCCAAGTTCACTCAACCAACCATTATAAGTCGGGAAGCATGTGGCAGCCAGGATTTTAGAAATACTGGGATTTTTAGAACAGTCTGAACACTAATGCATTTTTAATATGACAATAATCACTTATAGGAAATGATAATATAATACCTATAACTCTTAGACGGAAACTGTCTGGCCAATTTTGAAATGACTCATTTACAGTTCAGTTTAATATTGCACTAAAATCACTGTCAAACACACTGAGCAGAGGAACACAACTGCAGTTATCGTCCAGCTTTAGCCCTAAAACATATGATAGGTGTTGTGACACTCATTACTCATGTAATGTACATAATGACTTAAAGTGTTCCTCTGGAAACGATTCAAAGGAGTTGTATCAAATTGTTGAAAAGTTATAGGCCTAATAAATTAAAAATTAACCAATAGGCTACATATTACGGCCTTTCAAAGAGAAATAAAATACTGTAAATGTAATTCTTATGTGTAATACAATCAAACGAAGAGTTATTTCTCATTATTAATCAATGATTTATATTGATAACTGAGGTATAACTGAACATTTTGGGTCATGATCACCGGACACAGTCTATCTATCTGGGCCTCATTTCGTGTCCGCACAGATTCTGACACATGAAGGCAACATTACAGAGCAACATCTTTAGCAACAGTCAGAAGAAACTGGCCTCTCTCTCTCTCATACAAACGAGCACATTTACTGAGGACATATATGCCCTGATGCGATCCTTCATCACCGCGAACCTCGCTCAAGGCCCGGCAGGGGCCTCCGACAGCGTGACTGCAGCAAGGTTTGTTTACGCAAAGCTGCTCTCGTTCAGTGTAACTTTATCATAATATGTTAGATTATTTCCCACAGTGAATATGTCTGCCCCTGAAAACGATAAAAGATCTAAAGAAAGAAAGAATTAAAAGATACTCCTAGTTGAGTCTGTACGCAAAAGTTTGGACACGCGTTTGACAGCATATGTCCCCGGTGTAACCCTTAGATACGTGTGTTCAGTGTGTGTCTGTGGGAATAGAGAAAAAGCTATCGCCAGGCCTATCATTTATGTCACTGGGAGGTTGGCTTTATAAATAAATCTAATATTAAATTATGATTTGGGGATTATGACACCCGTGTGTGCAACCTGTACTGTAACACAGTGCTGACTGGTCTTGCAGTCAGTCTTGCCCCTCACCCACAGCTCTGAACTGTAGCCTACGTGCGCAACTCACACACTTAGCCCACGTCACATAGTGTGAGTTACGCATGAACGCAGAGCTCTGACGAGATAATGCCATAACACCATAACCTACAACTACAGTGTCAGCAATTCTTCACTTTATCATTTTGAGAATTATACAGGGTGCAGTTTATTGAAAATGAAAAAAACAATTTAAGAGGAAAATAAAATGCAACATTTTCATAAAGAAATCACTATTTTGATTTGGAACACTTTTATTATTCATTTACATGTTCAATATTTTTCATCCAAGTGTAAGTTACTAGTTTTTTGAAAACTGCAGGCCTGTACAAGATTTACGTTAGTAATGATTTTAGACTAGATGAACACAATTAAGCCATAAAGTTCATTTTGGGCGATTTATTTTAATTATACAATTTTCTAATAACATTTTATTCAACAAGCTTATTTTGTTAAAAACACTACACATTTGGTGAAATTTGATTTCGACTTCGATTAATCATTTTCTAAAAATAAATAATTAGTCTTATCGCGCCGCAGCTGTGGAAGCCCGACACGATTTATCAGTGATTTAATAATTTTATTTTTAATCCGGCATTTTTGGCTCCAGACATAAATTTATTTCCTATCAAGGGGAGAAAATAGCGCTCACAACCTTTATCACCGGCCTCAAGTATTTTCTTAATCAAAACATAAGTGAATTCTGGCAGTGGGTGCTTGGGTGGGGAGGGGGCGCTGCTGGAGATAAGACCAGGGTGGTTTTATAGATAACACTCCACTGCTTGTCAAAGTCAGTGACATTTGAAATGTAGTCTAATAAACACGCCCACACACAAAAAAGAGGTTTTTATATTTCATTTAACACTGTAATTGTTTTTATACCTGTATGTTTCTATATTGTCCACACACTGGTTCCGCTACAGGTTCCTGCTGTTTTCAGAGAAACATTAACAAATGTACTTTGTATTTTAACAAATAATCCCTACTTAAGTCTGAATTAATATGATTCCCTGCATCATCCTTAATATCACCCCAAGCATGTCTGAAAAGGTACTGCTTTAACTTCAATAAAGGATGCTTTCTGTAAAATAACGACAAAGTAACAAAGTCAGAAGACCTCAGTTAAGCAGTTCAGGGTCGGGGTTAGTTCAGACGAGGCCCATCCTGCAGGTTCAAATAAATGAGCAGCAGAACGAACAACAGTAGGAAAAACTACAATTTTAAAAAGAGTTGAATGTGCAGTTTGTCCTGATTTTAGATTGTGTGTGGATGATGATTTATTTAATGTATTAATGACCACAAAACGACCTAATCTTCATAGTTTTTCCTTCTTTTCCTTCTTCATTCTTTTTTCCTTTATATATATGTTCCTTCTTTTTAGGTTTAGCCTGAGAACATATTGGACTAAACTTTAACTGAGCATGAAAAGTCGACTTTTGCATCTTTGTAAATCTGTAATACTATTAAACCAAAACATCAAAACCTTCCAGAAACGTCTGGAGGAGTCTGCAAGTTTATCTCAAACCCCTCATCTGCAGCCTATCACAGCTGGCCTCTCCTTGAGGGCGGGGGGACCTTTGACACGTTTAAATAGAAGGTGGTCGAGCTGAAGCAATATTCAGCCTTCTTCTTCGAGCCTGAACAAACAATAAACAAAGAGCCATCATGGTTGAGTGGACTGAGAAGGAGCGCAGCATCATCACCAGCATCTTCTCCAGCCTGGACTATGAAGACATCGGCCCCAAGGCTCTGTGCAGGTACGGAAAAACCCAGCTCCTGACACCCCACCATGCTCTTATCCCATTCTCCCCACCCCACCATGCTCTTTCAGGACATCATCCGATGCTGAATTATCCGCTGTCTCCTCCCCATGCAGGTGTCTGATCGTTTACCCCTGGACTCAGAGGTACTTTGGCGCCTTCGGCAACCTCTACAATGCTGAGGCCATCAAGAGCAACCCGAACATCGCAGCCCACGGCGTGACGGTGCTGCACGGTCTGGACCGGGCTGTGAAGAACATGGACAACATCAAGGCCACTTATGCCGAGTTGAGCGTCCTGCACTCCGAGAAGCTGCACGTCGACCCCGACAACTTCAAAGTAAAGCCACTCTCACCTTCAGAGTCAGCTCACACGAGAGTTAGGAACTTTGACCTCGCAGAAGCTCACATATATGTTGGGATATAAAATACAGACATACCAAAGAGAGTTTCCCTGCGCATAATGTCAAAATGTATATTCAAATACTTACGCACAAATATTTAAAGTTTCAATATGTAGTTTTCTTGGATGCCAAATCTACTTTTGTAGTTTCCGTAAGTCCACGTAAAAATGACATCAAAACACATATATGAAAGGCATTTAATGTTTTTTTCCTCTTCTTATAGCTGCTGTCTGACTGCCTGACCATCGTCATCGCCGCCAAACTTGGAAATGGCTTCACACCAGAGACGCAGGCCGCCTGGCAGAAGTTCCTGGCCGTGGTGGTGTCTGCCCTGGGAAGGCAGTACCACTAAGCCCAGCAGCTTCCACACCTGGACACCCGAAGCACACCTGACGTCTGTTTACATGTGTCCCGTGTTTCCTCAATAAAGAAATAAAAGGCGCATTGAAGCAAAGTTTATTGGTTGTCCCTATTTTGGTTCCTTTATGCGTGCGCAATTACGCACAGCTCCGGTGATTGGGGAAGGCGCAAAGGAAAAATTACAGACCGTAATAAGAAATTGACATAATTACTCTATAATAAGGTTATAATGAGCTTTAAAAGAGTCAGTCATAGTGAATTCCTAACCTACCAACCCACCGTGGTTTAAAAAATAATGCATTTATGTATGTTAACGTTAAGCCTGTGTATAGTCAGTGGCGTACTCTGGCTGCTTGAGGTGGGGAGCAGCAGCAGAAAGTCATGATTTAAATTGTTTTATTGTTATTATTTATACAGTAACCTCTGTAATAAAAACGCACAGGGAAATATCAATTATTTAACCATGGAGGTAATGAATTATGTCAACTAATGTTATAGCACGAAGGGCAGCTTATATGGCAGTGTTTTTGTGCAGGGACAGTTTACACTGATAAAACAGTGCTGTAAGTGAGTTAGTTTTTCTCCTGTAGTCCCTGGACGGATGTTACAAAGTCACCCTAGAAATAGATTTTAGGATTAAAATCATAAAGCGTTTATAAGCTTGCAGAACAATAATAAAAAAGAATATTTTAAAATGAATAGAAACACGATGCTGGACACACTTACATTACATTTCCAGGTAGAATTTAAAAACATGCAGCACCGAGGCTCGTAATGCAAAAGCACATACAAAACAGTGCAACGTTTTCTCCACTAAAAGGGCACATAGAGGGCACTTTATCCCGTTTTCTCGCACACCGGGTCACCGTAGAGGTACACTGAATAATGTATTACACTTTTCTGTGTTTTCTTTTGAACCCCGAGCCCACAGTGGATATAGTAGATGGAAAGCTTCTGCTATCTCGTTTGCAAACAATAGGAAAAACAATTAAAGTCTAATAAACGGTAAACCGAGAATATTCGCACAATAAACAACACGGATAATTCTGCGTACTTCTAAAGGCATCCTTGGATTGTTCTAGGTTTACGGTGTCAGCTGAGGAAAATAGACTTCAGGTCTTGATGTTCATGGTTTTTACCGGTGTGAGCGCTTGACTCATCACGCACTGGGACTATCTGAGCTTGCAGGTCAGAACAGATAAACGCTCTGGTTCACCTGCTGGAACGCGGATCCGGACGGAACCCTTTTGCCTGCGAAATCTCTCCC